CCAGGGAACAATTCCTGCCCAAGATCCCATCCAGCCCTGCCCTGGGGCACTGGCAGCCATTCCCTGTGTCCTGTCCCTCCAGGCCTTGTCCCCAGCCCCTCTCCAGGCCCTGCCAGGGGCTCTGAGCTCTCCCTGGATCCTTCTCCTCTCCAGGCGAGCACCCCCAGCTCTCCCAGCCTGGCTCCAGCCCTGCAGCAGCTCCAGGCCCTTGTGCTGTTGGAATCCCCAGGGCTGGGGCAGCTCTGCAGGTGGGGTCTCACCTGAGCACAGGGGCACAATCCCCCCTTTCCTGCTGGGGGATTTGGGGATTTCTGGGATCAGATCCCAGCTCTGAGTTTGCTGGATGTGCTGAGAGCCCCAGTGCTCAGAGTTGGTGAAGATGATTTGGAGAAGATGAGAGATCGAGCCCCCCCTGGGGAACAGGGGCAGCCCCTCCCCACGGATAATTAACTCATGCTAATGACTGTCTAATCAGCTAATGAGGCAGCTACACCCAAGCAAAGCTCAGGAAAGAAGAGTGGAGAAAGCAGGGGGGGTGCAGCAGCACAAACCCAGGGCTGTCCCCACCCTCCCAGGGCTGTCCCCACCCTCCCCGGGCCGTACCTGTTCTTGTTCTCCAGCTCTGCTATCAGCTGCCTCTGCTGCTTGTTGGCATCGAAGCTGAAACCCAGATCAGCCGGGGGGCGAGGCTGGGGAGAGAGGATCACACCAGTCAAATCAAAAAAATCACCAAAGTCACAAAAATCAATCACACAAATCACACAAATCACCAAAATCACACAAATCAATCCCACCTGGGTGCACCTGAGCCATGGACAGACCCCACGGCCATGGCACACTGTCCCCAATCCATGGCACACTGTCCCCATGTTTGTCACCCATCCCAGAGCTCAGATTTTGGCAGGATTTCCCCCCCAGGTTGCCATGGCCAGCTTGGACAGGGAATGGAGATTTTTCCTGTTCCAAGGAATGAGGAGGAGCTGCCAGGACTCAAAGCCTTTTAAACTCAGATTCCTCCAGAATCTCAGAAGTCTGCTCATCCCTGATGGGCATTTCTGGGCTGGGAGCAAATGGTGGAGCCAGGAAATGTTTCCAGATTCCCAGTGGCCAAGCTCTGCCTGAAATAATCCCCACTGTTCCCCTTTCCCTGCTTTCTCTGCCCCTGGCTCTTAGGAAAAGAGAAAAAGGAAAAAAGGACCCCCAGGTCCCTGGGGAGCCTCAGGAACCTCCAAGAGCTGCTTTGGACACCCCAAGAATGGCTCAGTTTCCACACACGAGCCTGAGGTGACTGATGGGTTTTTAACAACCAAATCCTTCCAGGAGCAATCTGAAATGAAGTTTTCCCAGCCCTTGGTCTGCAGCAGAAGTCAAGCCATGACTAAGAATCCTTCCAGCACCTTCCAGTGTGACAGTGACTCAGCCCTGGCTGCCTCCCTTTGGATTTGGAAATTTCCTCCTTTTCCACCTCAGCCTGGACCTTGGCACTGTGTCCCTGAACATTCCAGCACTGCTGGTGAACAGAGACCCTGGCCAGGGGCAGGGGCAGCTGCAAATGTCCAGGAGCACGAGTGGGCTGTGCTGGTGTGACACTGAAATGTGAAATTTCCCTGTGCCAAAGGCAGGCTGAGGGAAATCCAGCAATGTGGGAGATGATCCTGCAAACTCTGCACTCCTTCCCTATGGGCAAAGCAGCCAGGACAGGGATCCCAGCCTGCAAGCACTCCCTGGCATTCCAGGGCCCTCTCACAGCCATTTGCTGCCAGAGCAGCCTGGATTTTTACCAATGGAGCCGTGGTTGTGTTGATTTTCTCCTGTAAGAAGCTGCAAACACAAACCCACCTTTCCCTCTCCCAGGCTGCTCCCTCTGGAACAAATCCAGCCCTCACCCGAGGTTTGTTGTGCTCAGCTATCTGCACATTTACCCCTCTGCAGGATTCATTTCTTTATTCCCCCACTGCCCTGACCCCAATCCCAGCCACCCTCCCCTGCCTGGTGCTCCCGTGGGGATTTTGTGCAGGTTTGGGAGCCCCCAGTGCCCCTGGCAGGGATGGGGTCACTTGTTGGCCACTGAGAATTTTGGGCTTTCTGTGCTGCCAGGCTCTGACCCCCAGGAGAACACTGCTCTTGACCTGAGGCCGGGGAGAGGCTTCCAAAATTGAGTAACAGAACTGGGATTATGGGCGTGTGGTTTGGATAGAAGTGTGCAATATCACAGGGTGGAAAACTGAGAATTTGGGGTTTTGGAATACAGCAATAAATGGAGGGCAAGATGGAGGTTTGAGGGTGGAGGTTTCTTCCTTCTTCACCTTCATCTTCAAGGGTCAGGGTGGCACTTTTAAAATTGGATGGAAAATGCCACACTGTGGGTCATGGGTGTTTGGTCATTGGGTCAAAAGTAAAAATAATTTAGGTGTTAGTTCTTAAGTTTGAAGACCTTGTAAGGAGAGAGATCCATCTCCATCTCTGCATTTTTACTTTGTTAGCTACAAGTGCTGCAGCACTCACTGTAACACAGCTGAGAATTAATGAACACCTGAGTGTGAGCATCAAATTCTGCCTCTCAAGCTCAGAATGCCAGCCGTGGCAGAGGAGGAGGGAGGAGATAAAACGCTCTGGTCACTCACAGCACTGCCAGCCTCAGCAGCCAAGCGAGCGGCGTAGCGAGCGATGAGGCGATGCTCCTCATCCAGCCTGCCCGGGCTGTCCAGGGCACTGCAAAAAAATATAAATAAACCCGAGTTAGAGCCCAGAAACTCCTCATCCAGCCTGCCCGGGCTG